TGCTCGGTCGTGGAACGACAAACCCCCATAGGGGTCAAAATCAGGAAAGACATTTTTGACCTACCAGATCTCACGGCTATACCCCCGAGGGGTCTGATCTTGACAAAGGGGAATCACCGTCCCTAGGTCACGCCATGGGCGACAAAAGAAGACCAAGGCCCTCAGAGTCCTACTGTTCAGAAAAGCCTCCGAAGAGGAGGAGCTAATCGGGGCCTTGTCGAGGACATTGATTCATCCGAGAAGAGGAGGAGCTAATGCCCATCAAACCGATTCATCCGCCAAAGCGGCCAAGAGCGTGAGGGCTGGCTCCAACCCGACCCCAGGCATGGGCTTCGCCTCACCCAACCCTCGAGGGCTGGCTCGCCTCGCGACACACCGTGGCCGCAGGCTCCACCTCACCCGACACCACGGCCGTGGGCTTCACCTCGCCCAACCTCTGAGGGCTGTCTCCGCCTCACCCGACCCCTGAGGGCTAGCTCTGCCTCACCCGACCTCCAAGGCCGTGGACTCCGCCTCATCTGACCCATAGGTTTGCGCTCCGCCTCGCCTAACCCCGAGGCCACGGACTCTGTCTCACCCGACGGAGACCCATGCCGCCGCCCACCATTCCAGGTCCAAGTGTATGGGCCTGGGTCAAAGCTCTAACACTAGGGAAGAGACCGGCATGCCCTGATATAACTCGCGGCCACGACGGGCCATACCCGAGGGTTCACATCAAGAACAGCGTCGGGCATACCGGTGCTGTTCTGCCTAACCCTCGTACGAACACTGACAGAAGCGTCAGTTCACCACGACATCCGCCAGGACATATTGGAGCGCCATGACCGGTAGACGACGCTTACGCATGGCGCCAGTGATGGACAGGGCCACGATGTGGAGCCGTCCCTGTTGACATCTACATGGTCAGAGGGACCGCATGAAGGATAAGGACCCGAAGATCCTAAAGGACATCCCCTCTCTCTCTCTCATTCTCCTCCTTTCCTCTGATATAACCCGTGCTTTCCCTTGGCCTATAAAAGGGAAAGCAGGGCGCCCCATGAAAGAGAGGGGGAAAACGATCGAACAATCGAACTATCGATCCAAGCTAGACCCAATCGAACCATCACGAACCCATCAAACCTCGAACCGATCACAACACAAGCGCACAGCTAAGGAGCAACTGAGCTCTCGGCACCTGTTCATTCCTTCCATTAGAGACTTGGGACATGCCCCTCTTCGCCTATTTTGTAACCCCTACTGCAAACTTTTAGTGCTAGTAACATGAGCAGCAGCGACGAACTGGATGTAGGGACATTCTGTTCGAACCAGTATAAACCTCGTGTCCTCTAAGCACACCATCCGAGCAAGATGAGCAATATTAGAAATTTACTTGTTGGTGGTGACTCGAAACACCAACATCCCCTAAAGTTTACTCCCTATCCCATCGAATGTTTGGACACAAACATGAAGTATTAAATATAAACTAAAAAAATAACTAATTACACAGTTTATGACTAATTTGCGAGATGAATCTTTTAAGCCTAATTTGTCCATGATTTGATAATGTGGTGCTACAGTACGGACGTGCTAATGATAGATTAATTAGGCTTAATAAATTTATCTCGCGGATTACTGACGAATTCTATAATTTATTTTTTTATTAGTATCCAAACACCCTATGCAACACCCCCATTTAAACAAGCCCTAAGGTGAAATCAAAAAGATGAAAAGAGCCCTATGAGTAGTATGCATGGCAGTTATCTCTCTCCTTTGCTATTCTGGACCCATTCACAAAGGGTAGAATAGCCATTTTGGTCCCTCAACTATTTCTCGTGGTTCAATTTCATCCCTAAACTTTTAAAACGGCCATTTAGGTCTTCAAACTTTAGTTTTAGACTCAATTTCATCCTATAACTAATGAAGATATTGTCTTCGTCCTTAAACTTGCAATTTGAGCTCAATTTCATCCATAAACTATCAAAGTGCATTTAATATTTTATTTCAACTCAATTTTATCTATTCAAAAAGAAAATTTTATATTTTAGGCACAATTTCATCCATGAATTATCAAAATTATAGATATGCTATTGTTTCAATATATCCATGTATTCTTAAAGAATAAATAGTGTTCGATGCAACTGTAATTGCTCCCACAAATATCATTTAGTCGGATATACTCCCTCCGCCCAACAAAGAACGCAATTCTAGCACAGTGTCACGTTTTAGTATCTTGAATTTGACTAATTATGGATAAAAATGTATCACTATTTATAATATCAAATATATATTATTGGATTAATTACGAAATGTATTTTATAATAAATTGATTTGGAGCAATAAATATGAGTACTATTCACTAGAACTTGGTCAAATTTGAACTATTTTTATTGTCACGCAACCCGTAGTTTTATTCTTTTCTAGACGGAGAGAGTATATAAATGATAACATTATAAGGTAACATTAAAAATATGAGCTTGGAATTATTAATGGCCACAAAAGAGTTTTTAGATGAATATTATTTTTCTATCTCCAATCACGGGTGGTGTTGGAGCTAACCAGGTGCAACAGTGTAACGTTCCACGTACGTAGACAAAGTTGAGTTGAAAATAAAAATTTAAAGAACAAAATACACTTTGATAGATTATAAATGAAATTGAGCCCAAAATGCAAAGTTTGAAGATTAAAACGATCATTTTAATAGTTTTAAGATGAAATTGAGTTTAAAAGTAGAGTTTGAGAACTAAAATGCCCGTTTTAAAAGTTTATGGATGAAATTGAGCTTCGAGTAATAGTTGAGGGACCAAAATAACTATTCTGTTTTCGTAGAGACCAATCACGTTGCTGCGAGGGATACGAGGACCAGCAGATAAGGATACCAACAGATGAGAATAGGAGGAGGTGGGATGGGGTGACAGGATTAAAGCTGCGGGGCTAGTTCGTAGGTGTTGGACAGCTAAACGGCACTTATTCAGGGATATGGTTCAAACTCCAGAACAACGGTCAATTCGGGACAGACGGAGTGCATTACAGTGAGACAAGTAGAAAACGCGACGAACACGACCGAAAAAAAAATTTGATGCATACTCAGTCCGTATTACCTTCGCTAGCTAAAAAGAAGACGAAATCGACGACTTGACCGGCGGTGACAGATGACATCATCATTATATTGTTCATTCATCATCAGATATATATATAATAATAATCTCCGCTCCGACCAAGTATGTGCTTTCTTTTCGTCTCTTTCCATTGACGCGGTAATCCAGGTCAAGCCGCCGTGCGTGTGGGCCAAGAACCAGCGCTTCGATTAATTCCATTCCATGCACGATGATGCTCTGGCTTAACTTTATTCTTCTCCACTTCATGCATCGATGCCGGTGGCTTGTGTGGCCTTGGAGTGGAGGCAATGCATGCATGCATTGCATACGGCCTAGCCGTGCAATTCGCCGTGGAAAACAGGCCCTTTTCTTGTTCTTACCCTCGGCAAAATGGCACCGTCGCAATCCACCTTGACCCGTTACGTTGCAGCTAGCAGCGCGCACTTCCTTCCACTATTACCGTTTCGTCACTGTTTCCCAGCTACTTTCCTTGACTAATTCTTCTCTTCCAGCTCTTAATGGGTGCCCTGAATATTGTGATCAACGTACACTATTGCCGTGTTCTTCCTGCCCAGCGTTAGTGGGAAGGGAACAAGAGAGGGGATTTATTATCAGATAAGCACCCAGCTAGCTAGTGCTGTAGTAGGTGCCACACCACCCGTACCATAGATAGCGCACACAGTTCGTTATCTATGCCGCAAAAAGCACATCGGTCGTGCACCATGCGGCCGGGCCATGCATCATTTGATTTTGATCGCACCGCCCGCGTGGGCTGCGTGCCAGACGACCACCACACCACTTTCTAGCGAATCTGCCGCAGCTGAACGCGAGGGAATTGAAGTCACGGTCGGATAGGGGGTCGAGGAAGTGCGCTGCGCTTTACAACTGCGTGGCACTCACTAATACGGCATCTTATCTCAGTTTCAGACTGAAAATTCAGTGCTTGTACCATATACCAAGTCAAAAAGGAGCTACTAAACTGCAAAGCACTACAACTAACTGTAACTGGCTCTCTAGTGAGCAGAGCTTCCATAAAAAGGTATTTAGAGGCATTGCAAATCGGTTCACAGGGCAAACTCAGCTAAATGAATGTATTGAGGACAGTATTAGTTGGCGATGGACAGCGGACGGTGAATACACAACCAAGAGTGCCTATCGTATCCAATTTGAAGGAACTTTTAGCAAAATGAAGCTTATGCCGATTTGGAAAGCAAAGGCGGAACCCAAATGACGTTTTCTTTTGCTTGGACTTTACTGCATAAGAAGATCCTTACCGCTAACAATTTAATCAAACGGAATTGGCCCAATGACCCGATTTCCAAGCTTTGCGGGACAGACAATGAGACGCCGACACATTTGTGCAAAGATTGCACCTTCGCTAATGAAGTGTGGTCCATTTTAAAGCGGCGGCTAGGTCTATCTGCGATTGACACGGTAGGAATGGCGGAGTCGCTTCACAAATATTGGTGAAAGTGTCAAGCAAAGTTCGATAAAAGATAGCGAAACAGTGTTATGATTTATTTTTGGGGGAGAATTAGATTCATACCATCGAAAGATCCTGACTTTGAAAAAATACCATTAAAAGATCCAGCTTTAAAGAAATAGCATTGAAAGGTTGCTCCGTTGTTGATTTCTACCGTTCCGTTAACTTGCCCTTAATTTGTTCTACTTGCTCGTATAAGAAAAATAAAGGCAGGACTCGCAGGAAGGCTGCCATGACCAAATCTGCGGCCACCGGCGGTGGGCGGCACCGCCTCTGATCGCGTTCAGTCCGCATGCAGGCATTTGTATTTTCGTATACCCCGTATTGCCCCTGTGGACGTGGATAAGGTTTGTCACCTCCTTCCTGACCACCATACGCAGAATTCATCATGCATCAAGACCTTCGCTCCAAGTTTGAGAGGAATCGGGGCAACGCCGCCCGCGATGGCGCGACATACCCTCGTCCGCCGTCGCCGCTCGCGCCTCCTTCCAAGCCGCCGCACTCAGCCTGGGCTCCTTGCGCTCTTTGGACTCCATCAAGAGCCGCACCTTCGCATCCACCTCGCTGGCGCTGATGAGGTCCGTCATGCTCGACTGCTCGTGCACCCGTCAACCTCCACGCCAATGCCCATGCCCTGTGCCACCCATCTCCAGATCCCAGAAGACGTGACTACGTGAGTGCACGCCCTTGCTCCATAAGCAGAGGAACACGGCGCTGCCCTCCAGCGGCGCGTCGAGCACTCGTGCATCTTTGCCTTGTCGTCCTCGCCGCTGAGTAGCGGTCCCACGCAGAAGACCGGCAGGCGGCGGCAGCGCTCGCCCGAGGATGCATCGGGCCGTGGATCCTCAGCGTCTGCACGGCCCGGTGGCTTGAACGTGTTCACCGGTCACCAGCGTAGTTGGCTGGTTGGCCCTCGTGAACACTCGCGCATCTTTTTTTCTTACGAGCAATTTGAACAAATTAACGGCAAGTTAACAAAACGGTAGAAATCAACGACGGAGCAACTTTTCAACACTATTTCTCTAAAGCTGAATCTTTTTTATGGTATTTTCCCAAAGGCAGAACCTTTTAGTGGTATGGATCCAATTTGCCCTCTTTTGGTGGAATATTTGGAAGGAGTGGAGTAGAAGAACTTTTCAAAACAAATCGTTACAACTAAGACAAGTGGCTCTTTTATGCAAGGAGAATATATAGCAATACCAGTTAGCAACGAGATCTAATGAGGGGCAAGTTTAGATGTTTAGCTTTTTTCCCTTTCGTTTTCCCTGTTTAGTTGTTTTTTCAGAGGCCTGTTCCTGGAGTTGTTGTTTTCTTTTAGGCCTCGTTCGTTTCCACGGGAACGGCTCGGAACACGGCCTGATCCGTCCGGATTGATATGGCCCGGTTTGAAGTCAGGTCGGGCTAAGATTGACTATTCGGTTAGATTTGGCCCGGAACAAAACTTGGTCAATTCGAGCCTTTCCCCTCCCAATTTGGCCCGGAACGAAGCCGGAGCATCATAGGTCCGGAACGGAACCTGGCCGACGGCCCGGTTCTAGTGGCCACTCAATCCTGGCCTGGATTGGATATGGGCCTGGCACCAATACAGGTACTGCCGAACAAGACCTTAGTGAGTTTGCAGTGGGTTTTGGGGGGACGCTGCAGTGGTGACGGCCCCTTTCCTCAGTGGTCTACGTAATTATATGTTTTGTTTTTTTCTTTTACTTGTCTAATAAAAACCCGACAAAACTCTTGCGGCCTTTAAAAAAATGTTTATGCACCGACTGTACTGTGAATAACACATGGTTAGTGAGCTTTCATTTAGCGGAGTCCTGTTCGCCATCCTGTTGCATATTCTTTGGAAGGATATGTTTGGAGGCGTAGAGCAAAAAGAAACTTGAGCCACTTGCATGCGTTTCTGGGGATAACAGTCTGGAGTTGTTATCTGGCTGGACAATGATTTCCCTTAAGCTATGCTAACGATTATCATTTCAATTTTAAAGCACTGTCAGCACTAAGGGCTTGATTGGTTTGTGACCAAAATTTACCATACTAAAGATCTCGTAAGACAAAGTTAGATAAAAAAAATTTGCAATAGATTTGGCAAGCCATTGATAAGTTTTAGTAGCAAACTAAATAATATAGCTAAAATCATGACTTACCAAATCTTTAATATGATATACTTTGGAAAACAACTAATCAGGCCCTGACAAATGACCAAAAGACAACTGCAAGGAAAAGTCAGGACAATACACAAAACCGTGGAGTACTGTTACTTAAAATTTTGAAAAAGGACCCTACGGGCCACGGGCCACTACTCCCCGCTCGTTGTGGCTGACGCAGCGCGTGCTCAAGAGCGTGTCACTGAGCAGTGGGCCCATCCTCAGTGCGCCACCTTCCTCGAGTACAGACAGGTGGGGCCAGTGTTTGAACGCGTCGGTGCCTACGGCTGCTATATATAATATATGCTTTGCCTACCGAAAAAAACAAGAGGCCGTTTCCATTTCGTTTCTGTGAGTGCTACTGCAGGCTGCTGCAACAGCTTCTCCTCCAGTTCCCGTGCGCCGCGGGAAGGTCCTGGAAGCTTCGGAGATGGGGAGGAGTAGACGTCACGAAGGAGCAGAACGGGGTGGAGGTGCTGGAGGGGTGGCCGCCGCCGCTGCCTTCGCCGCGCTGCTGCTGGGCTGCGTCGTCATGGCCCTTGTCGGCGGCGCCGCCGCGCGCAGGGCCCCGGCTCCCCTCCGACTACAAAACCCTCAGCGGTAAGGCACCCCAGCCTTCCTTCCTTCATTCTCTACAGCTTCCTCGACGCGTGCCGTGCCGTCCTGCCCGCGCCTGCAGTACTCTGCTTCGCTTCGTGCATTCGTTCGTAGGAGCCGTGTGCATGCTATTGCTTCCGCGGGTCGGTAGCTGCTGGCAAACCCAATTGGAGCCTTCTTGGGGATGCCTGTTCTAGAGTTTCAGAGTTTCGCTGACGAGCGCAGGGAGTTCTGTTCTCTGTCTCTCTAAGACATTAGTAACATCTGGTTATTGCTTCTAGAAATTCCAGAATTCAGTTTCGGTTCTTCTCTGACAAGTGGAGTGATTGCGGCTGAGTTGCTATACTTCAGTTGCCTAAATTCTAAGATGATTTCAGACAACAGTCTAATACAACCAACTAGTACAATCAAAAGGACAACTCACTCATAAGAGACAATTCACAATTGTTTTCTATAGTCAAACAACGATAGAATTAACTAGTCTGAATAACACTAAACAAGTTAGGCACCTGAAATATAAAATATAGGAGAAGCGCAAAACTAATTGAGCGATGATCTGAGCAGATATACAGTCTATAACGGGACACGGCAACAGCAATCATGACCGTTTGTTCTTCCTGCAGGTGCCGCTCCACTTGTGATCGCCAAAGGCGGGTTCTCAGGAGTGTTTCCAGATTCCTGCCAAGACGCCTACTCTTTCGCCAAGGACGCCAGCGCGCCTGGCACAGCTATGTGGTGCGACGTCCAGCTGACAAAGGACGGTGTTGGGGTCTGCCTCCGGGACATAAACATGAACAACTGCACCACCGTCGGCCAAGCGTACCCCGCCAGGAAGCGGACCTACGTCATCGACGGTGTGCACAAGACTGGATGGTTTGTCTCGGACTTCACCATTGATGAGCTTCGGTCTGCAGTTTATCGTGAGTACAGCTCGCAATTTATGCCACTGCAAAGCAAAGCCTTTCGTTTACAGTCATTATGGACATCTTAAGTTGTTTGCATTGACATTATTTTTTAGTACTGTTTTTGTGTGTTGTTTGGTCAAAATCATTTCTACGGTCATGTGCTTTTTATGGCTTACAAATTTATTCTAATGATGTGAGCTATTTTTCTTAACTGAATATCTACTATATTGAGCAGTAACACAATCAATTTGGTCTCGCACTGAGAGATTCGACAACATTTATCCTATCGTCAGTGTCACTGACTTTCAGTACCTTGTCAACTCGTCTGCTGTTTGGCTGAATGTCCAGGTTGAATTACTATTCTTGGAACTTAGCCATAATTTATTTATTTTGTTTCTAGCTAGTGTTATGCTACACTCGAAAGCTAATTTCCTTTTTTTTCCCCATATGTGTAGCATCCCATCTTCTACAAACAACATGGTTTGGACATGAGTAGATACATACTTTCAATAAAAAAGCAGGTATCCATGGACTATATCTCGTCACCTGAACTGGGCTTCCTCAAAAATATATCTGCAAGAGTTGGTCGCAAAACAAAGCTTGTGTATAGCTTTCTTGATAAAGCCCTATTAGATCACTCTATGAACCAAACATATGGTTCGCTGTTGAGTAACCTGACGTTTATTAAGTCTATTGCATCTGGCATAATGGCCCCTAAGGACTACATTTGGCCGGTGACAAATGATAACTATCTAAAGCCGTCCACATCAATTGTCACAGATGCACACAAAGCAGGGCTGGAAATATATGCATCTGATTTTGCCAATGATAGAATTATTCCCTATAACTACAGCTACGATCCTTTGGCGGAATACCTAAACTTTATCAGTGATGGTGGCTTCTCTGTTGATGGTGTACTGTCAGACTACCCTATTACTGCATCAGAGGCAATTGGTAAGCTACTAAGTTTTGAATTACTACATGATAAGGATTCAACTACAATGTAGTTATCGGTTTTGACCTTCTTCCTATTATATTATCCTTTTAAGTACTTCCTCTGTTCTACTATAACAATATTTTGGACTTGCACATTTATTAAGTAAAAGGCATAACATTACAGTCCTTCTATGGAACTTATGTTTTCTAACACGTCGGATTAATAATAGAGTGTTTGTCCCCTAATCCCCCATTTAGTCTTAGTGTTCAAAGTGTTGACTGTCCAGTGATGAATATATTGAAATTGTAGAGTCTAATAACCTTACCACATTTGAAGATATGTTTGTGCCCACGCGAAATCTTAGTATGATATTTAGTTGTTTTTATGAAGAAGTAAGCAAATAAAGTTCATTGCTAATGCATTTGAATGTTCTCATCCGCAGGTTGTTTTGCTAATCTGAATTCAAGTAAGACTGATCATGGTATGTTTCATATGGGAGTAAGGCCTACCTTAGTAATTGTATCATGATGGTTGGATATCTTCTATTTCAACTCAGTTTATTAATTATTTGTAGTGCTTCTTTACAGGGAAACCCTTAGTTATCTCGCATAATGGTGCTAGTGGAGACTATCCGGACTGTACAGACCTGGCCTACCATAGTGCCATTGATGATGGCGCAGATGTCATTGATTGTCCTGTTCAAGTGACAAGTGATGGAGTTCTTATGTGCATGAGTTCCATTAATCTGCTTGACACCACGAATGTTCAGAGAACACCTTTCGCCACTCCTTCTCTTGTTCCAGAAATTCAGTCTACACCAGGAATCTTCACATTCAACCTCACTTGGGCCAACATTAACAGTAGTGCTTTAAAACGTGAGTTTTCTTTTGTAGCATTGTCGATATAATTTTTACCGTGTTGCTTTCTACTACCAAAAGTAAATGGAAAATAACATTACAAATACATGAATACCTCACAAAAGGCACAAACTCATAAGTATCCTTTTGACTGGCCCTTTATCTACAGCCAAGATATCTTCCCCAGTGAGTGATTATTATCTTGTAAGGAACCCAAGGTACGCAAATCAAGGGAAGTTTCTGAAGTTATCTGACTTTCTTGCAATCGTAATGGATAGCGATTTGTCTGGTGCCATGATCATTATTGAGGTTATACCTTCACTCAAAGTTTTGCTTATTTTGATATGATCTCATAGAATTGAACTTTCCACCTGATTTTTGTCTCTCTATTATGACAATGTGATACCTGTCCGTTTCGTTCAAAAAAAGCATGACTATGTGATGTGCAAAAAAGTTCACCAGATAGTTTTTTTTTAGCAAAAATTCACCAGATAGTTAACATCATTATATTAAGAAGGAGACATAACTTGTATAAACTTCTGTAAAGATTGTGTGTTTCCCTTATGCCTTACCAAATATCCTATTAATCTTTCAAGAAGTTAAATATCTTAAAATTATCTTAATAAATAGAATTATTTCGTCATTGACCAATCTATCTTTTGTACTACAGAATGCTGCATATATAGCGAAGTCATTAGGAATTGACATTGTTGATTCTGTAACCACTGCCTTAAGTACTGCGGGCTTCGATAATCAGACTACCAAGGAAGTTCTGATCCAGTCAAAAGACAGTGCTGTTCTAGTCAAATTGAAGCAGCAGAAAACAAAAACCAAGCTTGTTTACACTCTCCCTTCAGGCATCGGGGACGCTTCTAATTCCTCATTGAAACACATTAAGAAGTTTGCTCATGCTGTAGTTGTTGACAGAATATCTGTTTTCACTCTAAGTTATGATTTTATCATAAGACAGAACAGACTTGTGCAAGATCTGCAGTCAGCGGGGCTAGCCGTGTATGCACAGGTGTTCCGGAATGAGTTTGTAGCACACCCGTTGGATTTCTTTGGAGATGCAACTGTGGAAATCAATTACTATGTTCAGTCATTTAATCTATCTGGCATCATAACTGATTTCCCGAAGACAGTCAGAAGATACAAAAGTAAGTCTCATTTGCCACGTCATGTGCATATATAGTTCACTAATCACTAGCTCGTATGCAGTTGCAGTATTTATGCTCCATGTTCTGACACCTACTCTTGCATTGGCAGAAAACACTTGTACAGTTCTGGGAAAGGATATGCCCACCTACATGCGGCATGTTGGCTTCCTTGTACAGAACCGATCCTTCCAAACCCAGCCGCCATCTGTGGCACCAATGCCGACACTGAATTCTTCAAGCGTGGAGGAGCCGCCTCTTCCTCCTGCTGCGCCAAGAAATGTGCCTGATGTTGGCCCCTCAGGGGGCGCCACCGCAACTCCTGGCGGCGCTCCTCCTTCTGATGCTCATCAGACGGCTACTGTAAGTACTGGTATGCTACTTGTGATGGTTTCCGCAGCTCTGCTGATCTGAGCAGACACATGAGACTGTATAGTGCACAACCAAAGCTAATACAATTTCCTTTGGATTCAAGCAAGCGTTGACCAGCGATACGCACTTTTTTCTCAGCTATTTTGGTATGTGGCCGCCTAATCGTGTCCACATGTACAAATTTGTCAGTAGAAAGGTCGTACTATCTCTAGTGAGCATGGTGTGTGGATATATCATACAGTACATTGCTAATTGATTGATACCACATTTCATGGTTCATGCACGCCATTGCTCTGTATAGGTCCTCATTCTGAGCTGAACATGCATATATATGCTCTGTGAATTGTCAAGCCTCACGCGTGGATTCCAGTCGTGGTTTCTGTTACTGTTACTGGCTTACTGCCTAGCGCGGAGTAGTAACAGCCTGGTCGGCTGGTCTCTGGCCTCTCGAGCTGACTGAGCTGCTCCACTGAGAGCACAGCTACCCCGTGTGTAAGCGATTGTTTGGATTCATTAGCACCGATAGTAAGCCTCCACCAAGTCGAAACTCGAAACACTATCCACATTGGATATAACAGATTGCATTGTATGATCACAACACAACGATGATGCCAATCGCCCGTACTTGACATCTTTTAGGCTTTTACTCTTAGCACAGTGCTTGTAAGATTGCAACACGTGAGACGGATGCAAGATATAGGACTGACTTCCTTGTCTCCTAAAGGGAAGAGCACACTACTAAAGAAAGGCTCTCTGATCAGCAGAGGCAGATATTTTTATTTTTTTAGAGACCGCATCAGGTCTCAAGAAAAACTCTGTTAATCGATTAATAAAGACGGTCTCTAAAAAAGGCTGTTAACAGAGATAACATTCTAAGGATCCGCCTCTACAAATTGATTAACATAGGTGACACTCTTAAGATATTAGCTTCTATAAATAGTTACATAAAAAATAATTTGTAATTTTTTCATATGAAGTCGGATGAATAAGAAATTTATATCAAAATTGTAAATCTAGAGTACAACATAGAGGTACGCCAAGTCCCCAAGAACGACGCAGTAGTGTGAATGACCCCCTGACCGACCCCTCGAATCAGTCGGGGGCTATACCCATCTGAATCATTGTGTACTTGAGTCAATGCCACTATCTAATTCTGGAAGCATTGTCAAGGCCAGTGCCTCCGCGCCTCAAACGCCAAGATGTCCCTATGCCTGGAGATCCAACGGATGTTGACGATCCAATCCCTGTCGACACTCACCACAAGAGCAGTGATAGCCGCCTTGTGCGCCGCGCAACCTGCGACCGAGCTCCAGCGATACCTCTACTACTACTAGCTCCGACCATAGCTCCAGCTCGATGAGCACAGTCCAGACGGCGTGCAACCATGGTTCATGCCACTTGGGTGGCTGTAGTGGCTCCCTCGATTGAACTGCCTATCTCTACCACTATGAAACAAACCTAAAGTATCTTTATACAACATAACTACCCTCTAGTTGTTACTAATATATGGAAATACTAACTCGGATAATGACATCACCCATGTATACATACACATAGACACAGTGAGTGATGAGGATATCAATTCGAAAATTTATAAATTACAAAACATATATGTTTCCTTAATGAGTCATACAAAAATGACAATAAAAATTAATTAATGCTAAATTTTATTAATACTCCAGGAAAAAGAATTATTTCTAGATAAATTTATTAGTTTTTTTACCAGCACGTTATATCTACATTAACACTTTAGTTGAAGTACTCCATTTTTTCTTAAAAATATGACTACAATAATAATCCTTTTGTGGAGGAAATTCGATGTTTCTGGGACTACGGCGCAGGCTGAAACAACTGCCTATGCCATTGTAGAAACAAAGTATTCAATGTAGCACCTTAGATCCAGATTATAACAAAATCCAAATATATTGCCTGAAATAAAGTTGTACTCCTAATAAGTGGTGGGGGTTTCAACCGAGGAAACAACTTTTGCAAACTATAGCAGGATATTTTATTTCATCTAGAAAACCAAATGTCGTGACAAATAGTAGACTGCAACAGGAGCTGACGTAGCCCAAGCTGATATTTTATTTCATCTGTACACATGTCTAAAACACTCTGCTGTGCAACATAAAAAGGGAAAGCTATGCGTGGAATGGAAAAACATATATTGTGATGGTACAATAAGAGTTCATCAAAACCAGGTAAATTTATAGAGTGTCTGTATAAGGATATGTAAGAAAAGGAACAAAAGAGAAGTAACACGAGCAAAATTTAGCAGATTAAATAATAGTGGGCCCTACATTTATCAGAAATTTTCTAATACTTAACTTTTTGCTAAAAATATTTAAGCATTTTAAAATTACTACACTTAGGAGAAGTATGGACCAATGGATCAGTGAAATTAAAGTTTGACAAACTGTTGTACTACCTAGTCCACCCTCTCCGCCTATATATACAAAGGTAAGGCCCAAACTTTCCAAAAAATGGAAAAATTTTATCCCACCATTTTTTTCAGGAAAAAAAGGAAAGATGATTTCTTTAGCTAATGCAAACTTTGCTAAAACAAAAATATTTGATTCCACCATTTTTCCAAGAAGGGATTTTGGATTTGAAAATAATGACCTGCATGGGATAAGTGAGGGAGTTTCTAACATAATTTGGTAAGTGGGAAGGGTTCTTTTGCTTTACTGTTGAATAGAGGGGGCTTACATGGACAGAATGGCATGCTAATTAATAACCTAGTTTTTTCTCGAATGTGCACTGTAGCACGTATTTCATTAAGAGGAAGTAGAGAACATCCAAACAAACAACGGCAACGTCGACGTAAGGTAACCAAAGGTTGCCCCGTCGAGTAGCACAAACATAAAACCGAGCGGCAAAAGAAAAACCAGCGTTAGCCGGCAGAGAGCACACAAGTGACCAATTACATGAACGAAGTGAGCGACGACAGGGTCGAATACCCGGCCCTCAACCACAAGTCGGCCTCCTGTCGGATCTCCAAACACAGCTCTCGAGCGTCCTTGGCTTCATTCGTGAACGTCCGTGCATTGCGTTCCTTCCAAAGCACCCAGCAGGTTAGCATGAGTAGCGAATCAAAGCCCTTCCTGCTGCTTCGGTGCACCCTACGCCTAGCCTAGGCCCACCAGAGGAAGGTGTCGACGTCACCGTGAGCGGCCACGGCTGTGAGCCCAAGCTTGGACAGGAGGATTATCCAGACCTAACGGCTGAGGACACAACCCAGCAGGATATGATCCAGAGTTTCGGATGCTTGAAGACGCATGATGCAATCGTCACTGTCCTGCAGCCCATGACGCATCCGGCGATTCGCGGTCCAGCAACGACGATGCATAGCCAACCAAAAGAAGAACCTGACCTTGGGTGGTGCGCGCGTCCCCCAAATCAACTTGGCACCGAATGGCGAGGTCGATCCGATGAACATCGCACCATACGCCGACGCCGTGGAGTACTTGTGGTCAGCGGACCAACGCCAGATGACGGAGTCCGTAACCTCCGTCACCAGCTGTACCCTGCGCACCCGCTCCCAGAGGTCCAGGTACTGGAGGAAGACCTGAACAGTTTGCGCCCTGGTAATGTCGGACACCCAGGCGTGATCAGCCAGTCCCGACGCCACAGACCGTGACCTCGTCTTCGCCCGTGGGACTGAGGCAAACACCGCAGGCGCAATTTGTTGGACACAGCATCCATGAATCCATGAGTCTTGCCAGAACAGCATTGAGGTCCCGTCCCCGACGACCATCATTGTTGCTGCACGAAAGAGGGCACACGTGGCTCTGTCGGTTGTTGTCGGAAGGTCGATCCAAGTTCTGTTCAGGTCAACCTTCCGCACCCACTCCCAGTGCAGTCTTAGAGCCAGATCGAACCTGCGCAGGTCGATGACGCCGAGACCACCGAGCTCCTTGGGCCTACAAACCACGTCCCATGCCACGCGACACCTGCCCGGCCACCGTGGCCGACCCAGACCATATGAACGATCGACGCAGCATATTGATGCGGTCGACCGCCCATGGCGACAGACACACGGCAATGGAGAGGTGCACCGGGATGGCCGTGAGCGTCGCCTGTGTCAACGCCACCCTGCCCGCAGTGTTCATGAGCTGGCCCTTCCATAGCGGAATAACTAGTCAGAATTGCAGAAATTGAAGTGGCATGCAATTTATCAGATCAGATCAACATGATATATAGATGAGCAAGACTCACCTCGATTCAAGAACCTTCTTCTGTCTTGTGGGCATGCCGAGAAAAGAAGGCCACACGGGTTGAAAAGCGCGTGGCACACCAAGCAAAACCATTCCCTCATCACCCCAGGTCCGGTGGCCACCACATCCTCGAACTCCACGAACAAGCCAGCATGCAGCTGCTGGGGTGTAGCCTGCATAATGTTCCTAAAAGAATCGGCCAATACCCGTGACCGATTAACAAACACTATGTGTGGCATCTCTGCGTCAATGCCAGTCTCCAGTTCTGGAAGCATTGTCAAGGCCAGGTGCCTCCGCGCCTCAAACGCCAAGACGTCCCTATGCCTAGAGATCCAACGGATGTTGACGATCCAATCCCTCTCGGCGCTCACCACAAGAGCAGTGACAGCTGCCTTGTGCGCCGCCAGTGTGCCGCGCAACTTGCGGCCGAGCTCCGGCGATACCTCTACTACTACTAGCTCCGACCACAGCTCCAGCTCGGTGAGCACAGTCCAGATGGCGTGCAAGCACGGTTCATGCCACTTGGGTGGCTGTAGTGGCTCCCTCGATGATGCGGCCCGTTGGAACTGCACCAGGGCCAACTCAAACCTCTCCATGCACTCATCAATACACTCCAGCATGGACTCTAGCATCAAGGAGAGTGTCACCCTCCATGGGCACGTTGATGATGACATGGCTCCTAGTACACGCACCTCAAATTGAAGCGTCTGCGAGAAGACACTGAAGTTGAACAAGGCCTCCCTCGGCTGATGCAGTTCCAGAGAAGGCTCCGTTCATGGCCACATACGCTGCCTCTCGAGCAAACAGCGTCACGTGCTCGGCAGT